AGCTAACCCTTAACCCTAGCCTAACCCTTAACCCTAACCCTAGCCAGCACCACGTCCCAGCGTCGGACTCGGTGCGACAGCATTGGCCCAGGCCTCGATATTTGGCCATAGCCAATATTCTACCCATTTGGCTGCCCCCTCCGAGCGTCGTACCGAGTCCGACAGCCTTGGCTCACGCCCTGGCATCAGGCAAATTTGGTTGCTTGTCTCAGTGTGACACTGAGTGTAACATAACCTGTGTGAGTATCAGTATTCCTTGTCCTTTAAAAAAATACTTAGCTGATGATACCTGGTGGCCACTTGCCACCCAGTTAGTAGTGGTAGCAGGTGGCTGGAAATCGTTTATTTCTTCCCACATGCCACCAATGTATATAAGACAGGTGTTTGTAGTATTAGTTCTGATGTACTTAGCTCCTATGTGTACCAAATATACTTGTATTTTCATTGCACTAGAATATACATAGCTGAGGATGCTTAAGACATAGTGATAGCTAGTGTGATGACAAGTTAAGCTGACTGAGCTACAAATTATGAGTTACAAGTTGTGAATTGGTTTTGAGAATCGAGGGTCAAGTTGAAACAGAGTCAAATGAATATCGAGGAGGTACTCGATTGCCTGAAGTGTTGGAGTTTCAGAAGTGCTGAGCAGAGTTATGGTGAGGTGTTACACTAAGGTTGATTGGCATCTGGAAATGGACATGCCAAGACTTGAGATTGTGATGGCATGCATTGCAGTATGTTACCCTGAGTACAGGGAGCTCTTAAGGATGTTAGCTCCTTAAAATGACATTGATACACCTCATACTCCCTGTGGCCTCTCCCTAGGCCCAGGGATAGACTTTGGTGGTTGTAATTTTCTTGAGACACACCTCTCTGGCAATCCCTGGGCCCAGGGGTGAATCCCAAGGGTGTGTATTTTCAAGAAGCGCTTGCATCTCTGCTCACACCCCTCCCCTGGCTACCCCTGGGCCCAGGGTGGGTTCTGAGGGTAGAAATTTTCTAGGGGTGGCTCATCCTCTGCTCACACCCCTCCACTGGCTACCCCTGGGCCCAGGGTGAGTTCTG